GTTTATGGCTGCCCTGGTCCGGTGCAGGGGCGGAGTTTCCCTGAACTTGGTGGCGCATATGGCAAGTTCGAGGGTGGCCCTAGCGTCGTTTGTCTGCCGACAGGCAGATTGCAACGGGTAATTGCCGTGTACTTGGGGTTGCGAAGGATGTCTGCATCACTGAAGGAACGCCGCAGATATGGCAGAATAGATCTTGGAGGGTAAGTTTGGGCAGGCATGGGAGACGCATGGTGGCTCTATTGATAGGGTGCTCCAGTTTTCCTTCTCCAACACTCTACTCGCAGCCCACGTCGGAAGAGTGATTTCTTTCGCTGGCCTTTTAGCTTGGGGTGGGGGGCCTGCTACATGCTGGGTCGGTGCTTGGCACTTCGTGAGAGGGACGCCGGAAAATTTCACATCGTGCAAGTTGGGATGTCCAATGTCTTCCGAGTGCTGAACGCACCGAACTACTCTACAAGTGGGAAGAGAAGGAAGACTGAAGGAAGAGAGCACATCTGGGTCACATTTCTGAGCTGAACAGCTGAACAGCCAGGAATCAGCCGTCCCTTCCGGCAGTACTGTGGACGAGTGTAGGAATAAGACAGTGGCATCCTGTTGCCAGACGGCGCAGCGAGCACGGGCAGCGCTCGAGGTCTCCGCCTTGGTTAATTCAGGGTCCAGTTTGCACTATCAGCTCTGTATCTCGCTCTGCGTCCTTCGATCACTGACTGATGTTGTCTACTTAAGTTTCGGGGGCATTAATATTGCAGCTGACAGATTCAGCACATGGGGCGTGGAGAACGCGCTCCTGCATTGTGACAGGAGCGAGCGCGACTACCTGCCCCGGTGCCTTCAGGGTCACCTGGCAGCCAGTATGGATTCTGGTCACCGAAGCACCTATGTTGCTATACAAAACAACCGCTGGAGGCTTCGGTAGTGCAACAGAGGACTCGTAGTCGTGAATTCCGAAGCAGGGAGTATTGGCTCGGGTGGCATAAGTCCGCAGAGTCCCAGAGTCGTAGAGTGTTCTGTGCTACGGTCAAGACCGATGCTGAAAACGCACTGTGGCTTCACAATTAAACCAAGGCCGAGAGTGCAGCCGGGAATGCTTAGTGCGAGAGGCCTGTCTGAGAACGGCTTGCGCTGCGGTATGTGGCTGATCTGGCACATGCTTCGCGTCCATGAGGTAGTTGTGATGCAATTCTGAAATATTCTGAAGGGTCTCACAGCAAGAGTTCATCTGGCCAGGCGGTGTTGATTCCCGGGTTTCCACGGCACCCACGTCGCCCGATCGGTCTGGACTTCAGGCTCCGGCGCGTGCGGGAAAAGTATAATACACTAGAATACACGATAATATACTACAATATACTAGAATATAATACAATACAATACAATACCATATAGTATAGTATAATATAGCGTAATATAGTATAATATAGTATACAACTGCAATTTGCATCGCACAGAATGCGTCGGGCTGCTGCCAGGCTCCCTACGCCACGGAAAGTCCGCAGGAGCTGGCAAAGACCTACGCCCGCCGACGCCCTTCACAATTTGAGTATCAGCCTGCGGACGGCAGCCAGGCTGCAGAGATTGCGACATTTCTCCAACAAGGTTCGACCATGTTCGACCAGGGGACAGGTTCCCCCGAAGCCAAGGTGCACGCCCGACCTTCCACGCCAACTTGGCCATAGGAGGACTCTCCGGCAAGTTTGTTTGGCAAAGTCTGCCGAAAGCTTGTGATGTGGGGAGTCCCCACGCATGCTTCACGACAGTGTATCTGCATGAACCATGCGAGATCACGTGAATGATGGCCTTTGCTTTGCTGGGGGCTGGAGTGCAGCCTCGTGTTACATAGAATTGCGGAATCCTCCGATGCTTTTGAGCACTCATGTCTTCTGCTGAAAGTTTGTAAGACTCAAGAGCACGACTTGGTCTGCTTCAGCTGCTCAAGACGGGCCAAAGCACAGTCCGGGAACATGCTGTCAGCTGTGTCTTGCAACGAGCATCAAACACCTTCAAAAGCAAAAATTGCGAAATCTTCTGGCTTTGTGCTCCGGGACTCCTGGCCATCACAACCTCCATCTTGGCGTGAGGGCGGATCATGGCATTGGGCCTTCTACCGGTCGATGAAGGCGGACAGGGAGAAATGCTGACGCAAGATGTCGCTATGTGCAAGCTAGCTGCTGCTAGTTGGCAGAGACCTGAGGTGACGAGTGGATGTTCTTGCAGAGTCTGCCCGTGTGGATGATACCGGTCAACGCCTCCATCATCGGAGCCATCGCTTGGTTCCGTGGCCGTAGTATCACCACACTTCCCACGACAGATAGCAAAAAAAAGACAATAGGAACAACGACTTGAACTTGTTCAACCTGGGCATGTCGAGGGAAGCCAGAGCTCAACTCAGGTGGATGACGAAGGATTGGAGACTGCTGGTCCTCGCCGCGGGCTTCGCCATCCTCCTGTGCCTTATCTGACAAAAAGACTTGGGCGTTGAGCTATGGGGCATCGTGCCACTACATTGCTACATGTACATGCAAAATTTAAAAAAAAAACTACGGGGGAATGGAGCTGAGACGCCTGCTGGAGGGAGCTTCAAACCACAAAGGCTTGGCCTCAGGCTGCGCGTCATCTCCCGGTTGGGTGCCTTGGATCACGTGACGTCGGCTGTGAGGCGCAGGCTTGCATGTCACGGAATCCATGCATTCGAGGCACTAACCCCTAAACCCTAAACCCGAAACCCTAAACCCTAAACCCTAGCCCTAAACCCTACAGCCACCCCCTCTCTCTCTTGACCACGGCCTTCACCTTACTGTTGGTTAGTAGGGAATGGGGCAATGAGGTACCCTATATAATCCCTTAAAGGGTGTATATATATATATATATATATATATATATAGAGGGCCCTGATTCCCTCATTGTCTGGTAACCAACAGTAAGTCATTTCTCAAGGTGATGACTCCTACCTGTTCATCAATCCTTACTGGGATGTGGCCGAGGCTGGGCTCGGCTCCAACTGATGATCCCTTTTTCCACCCCCCCCCCACCCCCCCCACCCCCCCCCACCCCCCCCCCCCCCCCACCCCCCCCACCCCCCCCCCCCCACCCCCACCCCCCCCCCCCCCCCCCCCCCCCCCCCCCCCCCCCCCCCCCCCCCCCCCCCCCCCCCCCCCCCCCCCCCCCCCCCCCCCCCCCCCACCCCCCCCCCCCCCCCCCCCCCCCCCCCCCCCCCCCCCCCCCACCCCCCCCCCCCACCCCCCCAACCCCCCCCCCACCCCCCCCACCCCCCCCCCCCCCCCCCCCCACCCCCCCCCCCACCCCCCCCCACCCCACCCACCCCCCCCCCACCCCCCCCCCCCCCCCCCCCACCCCCCCCCCCCCCCACCCCCCACAAAAACCCCCCGCAGTATGGTTTATTTTTGTAGTATAGTAGTACAGTCAGGGGGGTTTTTTCATCGTACTTCCTTCAGCGACTCAAACGCGTCCTGCACTGGTGTCTTTAGGATTTTGGGAAGCCGACCGCCGGTCGGCAACTCAACTCTAAGCTCTAGACTATAACGTGATGTCAGAAGTTGCATGGAAGTGTGAGGCATGGCTGTCTCTAATGCCGCTCCTCACTGCCGTTGTCTTGCGGAACAGCCGGAGATGTACCTCACGGTGCCTGGCGAAGAAGAGAGACGTTTTTCCTGTGTTTTCTTACTGGTGCTATCTGGTGCTTCGGCTTAGGAGTGAGGGACCTGACTCCAGTTCTCGGCAACGGCCCTCAAGGGCTGTTCTATTCAAGAGCGTTGGAGTCATGGTTGAAATGCTGACCCGCAGCAGTTGTATGTTGCCAGTGGATCGTAGCAAACGGATGTGTTTGTGCACCGCGTTGCTGGCTCGAGTCAGGATCTGAATCCGACGACGCGCTTCGCATTTCTATGGGCCATGACCATTGCAGTGAGCTTCAGGTAGCTGATTTCTCTGAAAAGCCGTGTGCAGCAATTCAGAGAGACTCTTGCAGGTCAGTGATGTGAACCACTTGAGGTTTTATTGCGCCTGGTCGCTGGGGCGGCCATCCTTGCACATTCGATATTGCATGGGCTGTGGTGAGTTATGAGTTATGAGACAAAGCTGCCATGAATTGACAGTTTTGGGTTTGGTCTTGCCTGAAAGTGCTCTTCGGTAGAGCAGCCCCTCAAACCTCCAAATCCTGTTGGCCTGTTTGCGCAATCTGCAACAACTTGTGGTTGAAACCCCAAATGTCTGTCGTTTCAGGTGGGTTTTCGCGGACCTGGCATTGTAAAGCGTGGGTCCAAGCTGCCACCTAAAGCAGCTGATCAAAGGCTGGTTTCGCAGCTCTGGCCTGACTTGTCACAGGGAGCGCGGAGCTTTGCCGAGAATGAGATGAATACTTGAAGTTTTGCCGAGAACCCCTGAACCCCATGGGTGCTGCCGTAGAGTCTTGAACCAAAGCTTGTGGGCCTTGCGGGTAGACCGGCGATGGTTCTGAGCTTCAGTGCATCTTTTTTTCAGAAATGGCGCAGACAGTCCTAATTGCTTGACATCTCCAACAGGTCAGAAGGTAGCCCAGCAGCTGTTGCTCCATGCTCTACCGTGCCAGCCTAGAGGGAAGGCATGGAAGGCACGGAAAGGTAAGAGTCATGCTTCCTGGTTCTGCGCGGTCAGCTGGCGAGGGGGTCTCATCTTCTTACAGAATTTCAGCACTGTCAGCACGTCCATCAAGCACGTGCGTTGACGCATTGCATACTCCAGGATTGCTACCCTTACCTTTGACATCCTAGGTTCAGGCTCAGTTGACACAGCATCGTGTTCCTTCAGTTCGGTGCAGCATTCCTCATGGCGATGTTTTCATTTCAGCTCCTGTGTAGCCTGGCTGGGCTGGCAGTGGTAGCAGCAGCAGCTGGACTCAGCTTACTAAACCCAGTGGCGTTGGTGCGCAGTTACGAAGCACACTTGTCTGGGATACCGTGGGCCAAGGGCTTCTTTTGTTTTGGTGGGAGAAAACGACATCTACACCAATGACTGTTCTTCTAGAAGTCTTCGCCTCCGCCCAGAGGCCCGGGCCCGCAACTGCCGTCCTCGATGAAGCGGCAAGGGGATGTACGTCTTCGCAGGGGCGAAGAGGAAGCATACGGACTCCACTCAAACACCGTCTTCAGCGACTTGTTTCGCTTGATCTTGCTGCAGACTCCTGGACGGAGCTGACTGGCCACAACAGCCACACGCACACTCCACGCGGCGTTTGGGACAGTACCTCGAGCCGCATGCGTGTGTATGGCGGACAAGCAGAGGACTCGACTTGTACAGCGATGTGTTGGAGTATGATGCTTTGTCCGACACAGGACCTCCCCCACGGAAGTGGCAACATTCCAAGAGCACGTACGACACCCCTGGCAGCTTCGACTCACTTCCGGGCTCATGTTGGATGTGTTGCGGGCGTGGAACGGAGTCAGTGTATATACCTTTCACGGACATGTCTGAATACCAGATACAACGGCGGTATGGAGCTATGCGACGGGTCCATGGACTGAGCTGCAATCAGCGAGCTTTGTCAGCGAGAGAATGTTAATAGGGCTGTGTGGGATCCAACTAACAGTCAATGCTTGGATACGAGGACCCTCTGCCTACACAGGTGAAGGAGACATTAAATTGGCAACCGTGTTCTCCTACTCGATCACCATGAACACGTCAATTCAGTACACTGTCTCGGGTACTGGGCCGGGTACAAAGACTCAGACTGCAGCAGCTTGGAACCCTGATGCTGCAGAATTCTACATGTTCGGGGGAAAAGGTAGTGGTGGAACACCCGCCACCTTTTGGCGTCTAGGTAGCACACACACACACATCTCTCACCAGTACTTCCATCAGTGCATTCCACCACCAGTACTTCCAGCACTTCGACAACTGCGACTTCCAGCAGCAGCACGTCGTTCAAGTAGTTCGATGTCAACAAGCACTACATCGACAAGTGGCTCAACTTCTGTCACGAGTAAGATTCCAGCAGGCCGACGACTTCCACAAGCACTACATCGACAAGCGCGTCGACTTCTGCTACACATACGACTTCCAGCAGCAGGACGTCGACAAGTAGCTCGACGTTCGGAGCAGTGTCGAGCAGCAGGACGTCGACGAGTAGCTCAACATCCGGAACAGTGTCCACAGCAGACGTCGCGAGTAGCTCAACATCCGAACAGTGTCCCAGCCGGACGTCGAGAGTAGCTCGACTTCCGAACCAGCAGCAGGACGTCGACGAGTGGTTCGCCGTCCGGAACTGTGTCCAGCGCATCACATGGACAAGCAGCTCGACTACTGCTACAAGCACGACATCCCACAGGCTCCACTAAAACGAGCCCTGAAATCTCAAATCCCCAAACTCCAAAGCCTAGAACCTTCATCCTATATATCCCAAACCCTAGAGGCCATAGAGTGCCCAGAAGCTTCACGTCAAAACCCCTAGACCCATCAGTGCTCCAGACTTCGACCACCAGCTCAGGCCTGTTTCGGGTTTGGGGACTCTATAGTCTACATTGTCTTGCGGTTTGTTCAGCGCGTGTCGGTGTAGGGTGCAGCGCGCATAGGGTTTACGTATGGAGCCTTGCGTTTTCGGGTTCTGGCACTGGACGATCTCGTGCGAAGTGGCAGCCCTTGGTCTCCATACCGAGGATGCGGTGGCCCGTCGAGGAGCTCACCAAAACCAAACCCTAAACACCCGCAACCCTATAAACTCTAAAATCTCTAAACTCTATACCACAACTAACGTCGAGGAGCTGCGTGAGCCATAGAGCAAGGAGAGCAGGGCGCCGTCCTCGGCATCCTCTCCATGCTCGAGAAAAAGCGTGAAAGCAACATCTCGGGCGTCTTGAGTCTTGGGCCCACTTGGTGTGGAGGAGGCCACCCAAGTCGTCCACGCATGGGCTCTGAAGCCTCCGGCTTCGGAGCTTCGGAGGCTTTCAGGTTCAGGGAGTTGATGTTAAGTGCCGGAGCCACCGTGTGAGCTCCCACGAGAGGTCCTCACTCAGGCTTTGGAGCTCCCGCAAATTCCGTAGATTCGGAGACTTCGCGTCGGACTCGTGCCCGCACGTCGCGTCGGACTTCGTGCTCCTCAACCGTCACGGGCATGAGTCAGGCGCCATGCTGCTGAACTCCAGCAACTCCAGCGAGCTCCTTGGCCAACCCGTCACGTGACTTCCGCTCCCCGAGTGGCATGCGAATTGCCAATGGACCGGTTGGCGAGCCCATGCAGCTGGGATTCGACGTGGAGGAGCAAGCCGGAGCCGGACCGGGTGGAAGGCAGTGTGCTGCGTTTTGGGATGGGAGGCCTCTGTCTGGGCCCCATGCGGGCGTCGTGCGATCTGAGGAGGTGGCAGATGAATTTATTTGCGTAACCAGTCACTTGACGTCTTCGGAGCCATTTTGGAGAGAGTCTTGCTGGTGCTCCTGCTCCACTTGCATCAGAGGTGCTGGTCTGTTGAGGGCTTACAGCGTCTTGGCACCAGCTGCATGATGCAGCAACTGTGCTCACTTTGTCTCCCTGGCCATTTTGCTTGTTGCCATGGTCTGGGCAATGTGCCGAGACAGGATGGCGGAGCAGACTGGCCCCCGTGAGGAGAGGGAGATGCGCTTTGTGAGAAAACCGGAGGGGCAGGGCAACCGGCCCAAGGCCGACCAGATAGCGCCGCCGTTGCACCGGTTGCGCCTGCAGCAAACGTGCCGGACCTGCACCTGCAAGGCCTTCGATGGGGCCACGTGGTTGCTCGGCGTCATGTTCGAGTTTGAGGTCACTGACTCTGTCACAGAACTGCTGGATGGGAAGCTCATGGGAAACCGATGCATTTCTTCCGTCCACGCCTACAGAATCCGGCGCTTGCCCAGCAGCCTCCGGCCATCATGGCTCCAGCGGTGAGAAGAAGCTCAGGCGGCCAAGTATGCAAGACGGATCGCTCGCACAACAACGACAACCTCGGTGGTGACCGTCATGCAGACATGGAACGTCCACTCCATGGAGTAAGCCGTTGAACGGTTCCTCCATGGTTCGTGCCCAGGCGCGAAGTCCAACTAGAGAGCACGGGGGAATTTCTCATTCCGGAACCTCCTTACAACCGATACACCTAGACCCGGAACCCCTAAACTGCAGAACCTGCAGACCCGTAAACTCCCAGGCGCGTGGCGATCCTGGCTTCGCTGCAGCACCTTGGCTTGCAGCGGCCCTCGTCAGCATTCTTCTGGTCGCATGCCGTGCGGGTCGCCCTCATCTTCCTGAGCTGGCTGGCCATGAAGAAATAGTATAGTGGGGTTTGGTTACCTAGCAACCAATGATACGTGTAGTTATAAACCCACTTATAAGTTCAGGTCTTAAACTCCGGGTTGGGAATTGAAGGGCGTCAGGATGGTAGGGTTAGGTAGGAATTGGATCCGGCGTCACATACTTTCTGGGCGCTTCAAAGGCAGAATCCTTAGATGAATGCGTTTGTGCTACATGCCCCGACCCCTCCCCTTCCTTGCAATCCCTAAATTATCCCATACTGGTACAAGCCCTAAACTCAACGGTTTCAGGTGAGCGCAGCTTTTTACAAATGTCTTGTTCTTTACTTCCACAAGCTTGGCCTCGTTCAGACGCCCGGCTAGATTTGGCCCTTTTCCGCCCTCAACCCTAAACCTGCTAAGCCCCTAGTAGCCTATGCCCGAAGACCCTAAACCCTGAACCCCGCCAGCCCCTTGTGTTGAGGAGGATGAGTGGCGGCCCGCCAGAAAACGTTGGGGGAGAAGCTGCTCACCGCCAGCATCGGGCTTCTTCTCCGCATGTCTAGGAGACATCTGGGTCGCGACCGGTCGGAGCTTCCTCTAGGGATCAGGGGCCTCCAAGCCTCACAAGCTCAAGCATAAGCCCCACTTCACTCCTAACCCTTACAGGCCCGAACAACATACCATAGAGCCCTACTCCGACATCACGAGCACGAGCTGCAGGTGATCTTGGCCATCGTCCAGCAGCGCGGGTGATTTGCCCGAGACTCTTGGACTCCTGATCTGAAAGCCGACAGTTGCGCTCCTGGCAACAGGAGGCGCTTGGTCTTCTGGGTGCTCTGGCTCCTGACCTGCGCCTTCTTTGTGCTGTACCTGAGTAGCTGAATGAGTACACTTTGCACTTTTTGGGATACCATACTCCCCTTAGAACTGAAAGGTTGCACTTTTTGGGGCTTAGGAACTCAGCAACTAAGGTACAATCCTATTCTTCCTGCCCATGTCGCTCATCAGATGCTGCAAAGTGGCTGGAAAGCACCGGAGTGAGCCTTCTGCAAGATCTTGTGTTGAAGCCAGGGCTCCTTGCCAGTGAGCTATGCTACGGTGTCCACCTTGCTGCTGTGAACCCACAGTGTCAAAGACATGGTCCCAGCAGTGGATACACCAGATGAGGTGAAGATCGATTTCGAAGAAGATGGCCGAGCGCAGAATTGTCGCTGAAGCATCTGGTCTCGAAGAGACACGGTCTGTTGCATCCGACATCTGCAAGTAGAGGCTTCTAGGACTTTCTTGAGCATAGTTTTTTCAGAAAAGGACTGCTGGCAACAAAGTGGTCCGATTCGAGACACCCTCAACCCCGAAGGCCATAGGTTTAGCATTTTTCGGGTTTACGGGATCGGCCTTCGTCGAAGGCCGCGGAAGCCAGCAGTCCGGCACCCCTTCGGGTGGTAGCGATGCCATCAGAGCAACTAAACCAAAATGTTGTGATGGAAGGAGCTCGCAAAAAAGGTCAATCGCGTTTGGCGCGGCTTGTGGTGATGCCCTGAAATCCTAGACCCTGCTGAAGATTTGCCCCCCATTGCTTTGTGGTACTCTGTTCTCGTTTTTCTCGTTTTGTGTCATGGCCTCGAGGCCGTATCTAAGATGCCTGGCATGGTGTCTGTACACACGGCCGTGTTGAAACTCGAGCCCGAGAAAGCACCAGCGATTCGTGCAGACCCCCCCCCCCCCCCACAGTGGCCTCGAAGAGTTGAGGACTGGGATCTCGTGGTCATGCGCTCCCTACGGCCTGCCCTGGACCATGCCGAAGCTCTCGGTTGATCCAAATGCGCTGCCTTGACGCGCTCCACAATACTGTTAAAGTCCTGATCTCGGAAAATTCACACAAGTCCTCCAAGGCTCACGTTGGCCTGCTCTTTTTCTTCTCGCTGCTCTGCTCGGCTTGAGCCCACTCCTGCAGTGAATGCTGCGTTGCGCTCGTCGCCTACCTGCTGCAGCTGGGACTACAGAGGCTCGGATTTCTCCTCGAAGCATTCTTGCGCACGATTCGGGGAATCTTTTAGCGGAACCGGGATGGGATGCCACGAGTGACACTGTGTGAAGCAGCCTTGGGCTTGATCTGCCAAAACAAGGGAAGCCGGGAGGCGAGGCACCTGCTTAGAACGGCAAAAAAAGGCACACAGATCTTTGAGTTGTTAATTTTAACGCTACGCGACCCGCCTCGGCCTGTCCCAGTGCATGGCGTAGGCTGCATGAGCAAGAAGCCTGACGTGTCCTGAACCCCAAACATTCA